CTGTGGAGGGACCCTCGGGTGCGGAATCGTAGGCCGGAGACATAGCATTTCTGCTTGTGAGGGGAGGACGTCGTGGGATGGGGCGGCCGCGCTGCTGGAGCCGCTGCTGCCTGCCCCTCTACCTGCCCCTCTACCTGCCCCCTCTGCCCCTCCTCTCTGCCCTGCCCCCTCCGCCTGCCCCTCTGGCGCTGCTTGCCCCCGGGGCATGGTCCCAGGCTGGAGCAGTCGGAGGAGCCTCGGGGCTGTTAATTTGAAATGTGATGTGTGTGTGTCCGTCAGCCCGCAGCTCTGTGGGGATCATTGTCATGCAAAGATGAGCTTAACGACCCGCAACAGGTGTTCTTGGGAACCTGCCGGCACAGTAACAAAAGCCACTGCGCAAGTTAGGGAGCAAAAAATAGGAGGCAAAAGCAGAACATTAGGTAACTTTCGGTGACTGAGTTAAACGGAAATAGGAAGGTGCTAGCAGTTAGAATGAATCCATAATGCCACTGTTGGACCTTGAGTCTCCTAACAACAATATGGATATTGACCTTCTGTTTTCTGGCAGTGACTTAAAAATTTCAGTCTTGAGGTTTTTTTACACATTCAGCCAATGTTATGTATTTTTTACAGTGGGGCATTTGTATGGCTTAAAGCAGAGTTTGGTGGCTTTAGTCTGCAAAGAATCTGTAAGTCTGAAAGCAGAGCCACAATGGAAGCCCTTTTTATCATGCTTGCATAAAATTGTAGCATATTCTTGACTGTGTGGGTGTAAGCTATTCAAGGGAAGGGAAGGGAGAACAGAAGCTAGATGGACCTTTATGAAAAAAAAATTCCTGATTTTAATTTTTATTCTGTTTAGTTCTTGAATTTGAACATGTTTATCTTGAAAATCTACCGTGTGCTTCGATGTATGAACGCAGTTACATGCACAGAGATGTCATTACACATGTAGCATGTACGAAGTAAGTGTCTTTTTTTCCTCTACTGTATCTCATTGCCATGTCATTTTTGTATATCCTAGGAATTTTTCATTGTGAAAGTTTAATAATGGAAAGTTACTTTGTCCAGAGGTGGTATTTTAAGGTGTTTTTTTGCAAACTGTTTTCAAAGGAAAGGACTTACTGAGAAGCAAGATAAAATTGTTTAAATAGACTAAAAGAGAGCGCAGTGTGCAATATATACAGCAGTAACAGCAACTGATTGCATTTGAACAAAATAGGATTGAGCAGAACTGCACATCAAGGTGATGGCTTTCTTGTTTTCTTTATACACACACACACATTAGTAAATAGTAACTACTATGAAACCAGACGTAAAATAGAAGTAAAATTTCTGTAGTTAAAAGATATAGTATTATGTATTTCTTCAATTCAGGCTATTGACTTTTCATAGATTAATCCAGAGTGCATTAAAATACTTACTTGCTTTTCCAGGAGTGAAAGGAGAGTGATAGGACTCATTCAGACAGATTGTCACAGTGATTTGTTTGAAGTTCAGTCTCTAGACAATGTTAATTATAGTGCAAATTACTGCCCCAGAGTGGTGGGAACGTGCATAATATGTTTATCTTATTTTTTCTTTTCATTTCTAATTGTAGAACAGATTTTATCATAACAGCCAGTCATGATGGACATGTAAAATTCTGGAAAAAAATAGAAGAAGGGATTGAGTTTGTTAAACACTTCCGAAGTCACCTGGGTGAGAAGTTGCTTTCTTTTTGTCTGAAAGACCTCACTTTTTCCTCTCCTGTGCTCTTAGTTGTTTGAAGAGGAAGTGCAGATAAAGATGAGACTAGTTCTGGGATTAATTTACTACAGTCAGGGATTAAATTGTATCTGCCTACCTTCAGTTGTTCTTCTGTCCTGTTACATTTTGCTCCCAAACTGCAGGAGAGATAGGGTAAGAATAAAACATTTGTGACTCCTCCTGCACAGATCCCTTACCTGCTTTGCTCTGCCTGTGGGGAGAATGTCTAGGACATGAAGAAACTGTTTATTTTAAAATAAGTGAACAAATTACATAGCAGTGTTCATGAAATCTGGAGAAATTTAACACATTGTTACTTTAAGTAAGGTTACCTTCATCCAGTATCTTTGTTCTGGTTTGTTTTCCCCCCCTGCAGTATGGAAAAAAAAGTTTATTTTCACCTTGAATTATTGCAGCTGTAGAGTAAATTCTGCATCATTGTCATAATTGGAAGCTGAAATGCAATCAAGAATTAATAATTATTAATTTTTGAGTTAGTGGGTACACATAGCTCACCTATACTGTACTAAGCATTAAATAGACTGGACAGAAAATGAGATTCTCGTTGCTGTTAGAAGTTATTAAATGCCTGAAGGGAAAAAAAACAGTTTGATATGCAGATTGTTACAATAAGAAAAATATGTAATAATAGATAGCAAAATTACTGTTTCTTTTTCAGTTAGAAAAAAATTTTATGGTGGGCTCTTTATCTTAAGTATCAGCTTCTCATTATATACAGAAACAAAATATGAAAACAAAGCCCACCAAGGAAAAGTAAGTATTGTGAAAAACTTACAAAAGACTCCAATTGCAGAGTAATTGTGAGTTTTAATAGCAGGACTGTGTAGTCTGTAAAGTTCTGTTGTTTTTCTTCTCTTTTGAGAGAATCATGCTGAAGAGCACGTAACTTTTTACCATATCATAATGATGTTCTCAGCTTTTTAAAAAAATGAACATTTTAAGTTAAAATAATTTCAATTATAATCTTTCATTTATTTAAGTGGTAAGTAGTTCATTATTAGATACCTGATTCTAAACAGTGATAGGATACAAAGTGTTGTTTGTTGGTTTTTGTTTTGAGTTGTTTCTTTACTTAAAGTCAGGTAGCTTTTTAAGTCAAAAAAGTGGAGGAACAGCTGAAAAGCAGGTTTATACCTCTCCAGGTTTTCTCCTGTGCAATATTGATATGATTGATGTCCCTTTCCTGCATCTTAGTAGTATGTTAACTTTTTTAATAGGTATTATTGAGAGTATCGCTGTTAGTTCAGAAGGGGCGTTATTCTGTTCAGTTGGAGATGACAAAGCAATGAAGGTGTTTGATGTAGTCAACTTTGATATGATCAACATGCTGAAACTTGGGTAAGTTACTTAGTTCTTGAGAATGTTTGTTTGGGATTATTACCATTTTGCTAAGAGATAAGACAATAATTTGGCATTTTTTGAGGTTTGTTTTTTTCCCCTGAGTGAGCTGAAGCTGAGTAAGTTGCATTATCCAAAATGAATCCAGTGGCTAGAGATTGCCCTACTGAACGGAAACATGATTTTCCATGCACAATACAAGAGTGAAATAGGTCTGTGTCTTTCACAAAATAACATAATGGTTTGGGTTGGAAGGTGCCTTTAGAGGTCATGTAGTCCAGTCCTCCTTCAGGGTCGTTTCAACTGGACCAGGCTGCTCAGTGCCCCCTCCAAACCTGATCTTGAATCTTTCCAGGGATAAGGCTTCTCCCACCACTCTGGGCAACCTAAGCCAGTGTTTTACCACCCTCATAAAAAATGTCTTCCTTCTATCTAGTCTAAATCTCCCCTCTTTCAGTTTACAACCATTACCCCTTGTCCTATCACTACACGCCTTTGTAAAATGTCCCTCTCCAGCTTTCTTATGGGCTACCATCCAAGTATTGAAAGGCTGCTACAGGAGCTCCCTGGAGCCTTCTCTTCTCCAGGCTGAACAACCCCAACTCTACCAGCCATTCCTCACAGGAGAGGTGCTCCAGCCCTCTGATAATTTTTATGGCCTTCCTCTGGATCTGCTCCAACAGTCTTTCCTGTGCTGAAGACTCCAGAGCTGTACACAGTACTTCAGATATGGTCTCATGAGATCAGAGGGACAGAATCAACTCCTGTGATCTGCTGATCACACTTCTTTTGGTGCAGCCCAGGTGAGAGTTGGCTTTTTGGGGTATGAGTGCACATTGCTGGCTCATGTACAGGTTTTCATTCACCAGTACCCCCAACTCCTTCTCCACAGGGCTGTTACACAATCTCTTTGTTCCCCAGCCCGTACTGATAACAGGGATTGCCCCTTTGCAGGTGAATGGCCTTGCACTTAGCAACTTGAAGTTCACATGGGCCTCAGTGTTGAATGTTATGAACGAAGATGTGGTGTTTCTTGGCATGCTTTTTTTCTGTTTTTTGGCACTGAATTTAAAAATTACAGCCAACTAGTAGTTAAGTAGAGAAGGAATTTGGCCTGTATGTGTTGTCTTAGTTGCTGTCATAGGAATAGAAATTTCCTTCTTCTGTTAGAAATAATGTTGTTGTTTTCCTTAATCTTGCTTTTGTAGGATTTCTCTAGTTACACAGTATGTAGAGAATCTGGGAGACATAGAAATGGATGTTATTGCAAGTATAACAGTATATGAGGAAAGCAAGTCCCATAGCATTACAAGGGTGTGTTCGGAGGGTTAGAGGATCATCAAATTCTGTATGAAGAATGGTAGAAATACTGATGTTTCCACAAGCCTTATAAAGCTGGAACATTTATTCCTCATAGTCTACAATTTTTGATCAGCTGTGAAACTGAATAGAGCTATAAAATTTAAAATAATCACCCCAAAGCAAGCTTTTCAGAAGGCCTGCATAGAAGTTTGTTACCTGCTTTCTGCTTATAGTCGTAGTGTCATTCTCCAGATAATGTACTTGGCCTATGGGAATTTATTCTCTCTTGGCTGTCTGCTGTGTAAAAAGTCCAGTGAGCCTCTGTATTTTGCTGTTGCTTTTTTTTTTTTTCCCTACTTCAGAGCCCTGTATTATCCCTGCAAAACTGGTAAAATTATAAGATGAAATAAAAATAATTTATGAAAAGCTTCATTTGACGTGATAGTAAAACGTGCTCTTTTTTGGGAATTCAGGGAAAATTGAGGTAGAATTTAAAACCATTTTACTTCAGGGATACCCAGAGATTGCTACTTAGAGCATTTTTGTATAGTATTCCTTATTTATCTTAAAATATTTTTCATTCTCATCAGTCAAGACCCTCCTCTTCCCATATGTGTTTTTCAGGGATAATTGGGTTTTACTGGAAGTGAACTTTTTAATGAAGAAAAGAACTGTGTACAGCTGCTCCTGAATAACCTTTTAAAACTTAGTATTTGTTGCTCTGTCTTCTGCATTACTGTGTGTTGAGCAGGTAGTTTCTGCTGATATGCTTGAGATTTTTTTTTCATTAGTGTTTGCTTTGGCTTGCAATGGTTAATGTAGGGTCTAATCTTTTCAGCTCACATTATCTTGCATTGCCTGCTGTGATAGCTGGATGCTGGTATGTTGCACGGTTGGTTAGGCTTGTCT